TACTGTTTTTGATGTTAATCAGCTGGAACCTGTTCAACATAGATTTTTGAGATTTTGTTGTTTTGTGTTAGGAATACCTCATTTAGCTCACAATTATACCAATATCGCTAACGTTCTTGGCCTGCCTACTCTTGCTGAACAACAAAGAACATTAAATATAAAATTTATTTGTGGTCTAATTACTAACCATATTGATTCCCTTTGTTTGCTATCCCAAGTTAATTTCAAAGTCCCTTGGCATGTATCTTGTTCTCAAGTGACTTTCCATATTCCTACTGCCAACACAAATTATCTGCAAAATGAGCCTCTAAGGCAGATTATGTCACTTGCCAACTGATGATAATTTCTTCTAATGTTTCTTCTTAAACGCTGTTAATAAAATCTGAAGTTTATAAGTGTTTTAATTGTTTGCTTAATTACTGTTTTATATAATTGTACTTATATTATTTACATGTAATATTTATATTTCTTTAATCTACTACTGTATCCTAATTGTACTGTTACTTTAATGTTATAGGGGAAACCCGTATATTAGTAAAAAATGAAAATTATATGTGTTATTGCCGAATACTCCAAATACAGTGATAATATATAGTTTAAAGTATATACCTATATTAACATAAAATTGTTAGTATATAGAGTTGAAATGAAATTTCAAGTATTTAAATCAAAATCTTTGTGGTAATTAAATTAATATTTTTACATTTTAGTAAGATAAAAAACTAATCATTCTACTTTTTTATTATAAATTATAATAATAATTTTTTATTCATAAAATACTACTTGAATTGGTTTCTATTATCTAGATTTGCTTTTACTATTTAGATTAGTCTTGTATATACTATGCTATGTCATTATTTTATGTATTAGTTAACTACAATATGATTTGATTTAAAATATCAAGTATTCAAATTCTAATTACAATATATATAAAAGTAAAATCATTATAATAAAATAATTTAAATTCAATCTTGTAGTTTAATATGAATACATTATAATATAATTGGAAATTTAACAGTAATTAATTAAATCAATGAACACAATTATTTGAGTAGTAAAATTTAAAAATATTTATTCCAACTTAAGACTAGGGAAAATACTTAAACAGATAATCGGTTATAGTCGATATACATTCTGTACATAGACATTCAACAGGGTCTCAGCTTTGTTTAGGTAGATTGTCCATTCCCATTTGGTGTCTGGATGTTGGTACGTTTGGTGTTTCTTGTATTGTTTGATACATTGGATTTGATGTTTGGTTAAGATTTCTATTATGTTGGTTCCATGTTTCATGGCCTATACCTCCTCTCACAATAACTTGTGATTGAGCTGCAAGATTAGGCGAATAGCGTTGGTGTTGTTGTGGATGTCTAGAAGAAGGTATAGCATAATTTTGATGATACCTATGTTGCTGAAGAATCTGATTATCCATGGACGGCAAATAATTAGATCTGGGGGGTAATGATGCTTCAACATGATTAGGAGGGGCTTGTGCAACTTGATTCATCATATTTTGTGGGACCAATGGAATAGCTAGTCTAGCATTTACAGCTAATAAATGGTCTCGACGTCGAGTAAATGTAGCTAATTCTTTTTCTAAGTCAATGTTTTCATTTTTCAGCTGATACAAACATGATAGTAATGATGCTACATCAAAATGTTGTGCTTGTTCCATTAACAACGAACCTCCTTGTTCCCATTGCCGTTCAAGTAAATCTTCTAAACTTTGAGAACTATTTCCAATCCCATTAGTAAACCATTCAGGACCAGAAGCATTTGACTGAGGAACATCAGTAGGAGGCTTCTGAACATGACGATATAACTGGGGACCCATTAACAATGGTGGTCGATTTGTAGGTATATTATTTTCATTGAACTGCTTATGTGTTTTAATTTCTTCATTCAATGTATCAGTCATTTGTTGAGCCATGGTAGAATTTGGATTTAAAGCATTTCCCAACATATGTGGGGCATCAATAGTGGGTTCATAATATTTTAGATCGTTTGCTTCTTTATTTTTAGTAGTGATAGAGTTGGATACATTCATCATATTTGGATCTTTAATCCATGTATT